GCCTACCTTGCCCACGCAGGACCACATGTACGTGCCCTTTCAAGCTCACCCCAAGTCCTGGTGTTTCTGGGATTCTGACTGTGAAATCTACAGCATCCCTAGTCTCTGCGTTCTCTCATCTCCGAAGCACTTGCAGCCCACTTCCAGGTGTGGCGCCGAGTTCAAGGCCATCCAGCACCGGTCTCTGGTTGTCTCATATCTTAATGGCCTGGAGAACTCCAAGAGCTTTGTCTTCCTGTAGCTCCCACAGTCCCTGGCACAGTGCTAGCCAGGTACCCTTTGTCGGGGATGAGAAACAGGAGAGGTGCTCAGTGCCCTGAGGCTGAGCGTTGGATGAATTCACTTCCAGAGTCTGGGTTTTATGTGTAGAACTCTGAACAGCTACCCTCTTGCGCTTCAATATCTGGACCAAATTGTGGTGAGTTGCAGAGATGACAACGCTGGGATCCGGAATGAGGATCCTCACTTTCCCATGATGCTGTAAAAATCCGCGGGGTCACTGAGATGTTACCAGCTGAAAACAGCCCGCTGTGCCACCTCTTTGAGACCATCCTATAGGATTCCAGGAGTCCTCCACCAGCCAGAAACCACCAGGCTCTTCCTGGCACCCCTGGAGCCCTGTGGGCAGTGGTGCTCACCACTGACTCAGAAGGTGCCCTTGAGATTGATTTTGAACTTCCTGGATGCATGGGAGCGCTCAGTCTTCCCCTTCAGCTCTTAAGCATCACCTGTTGCTCAGATCTGGCCTTTTGCCACCCCCTTCTGCTCTCCCCAAGTCCCCGGCACTTGCAAATGGTCTTTGCTGACTTTTCGCGTCCCTACGCCTCCCACGTCTGCAGCATCCCCGCAGCTTTCCCTGGCTGCTGCCCTCCTGAGGGCATCCTGGTGTCCGCTGCAGACGTTCTGACAATGGCCAGGAGCCTCCCGTGCTTCCAGAACCGCCCTGTGCCACCCAAGGAGGCCCCACCAGAACCTAGCGTAGTTGAAGCCGTGGTTCATGCTTAAGCTTTGGCATTTCTCCCGGGGTTGTGGGCTCCGGTCTTAGCAGGTTTTGAGGCTAAAGAACAAGCATGCTGGCAATGAGCTCTTTAATAGAAAATGAGCAACCTAAAAGATTGTAAAATTGAGAATTTGTGTTCTCTCTCGAGGCACTAGCAATCACAGGTCTTCATCAATGAGCACCAGTTAATAATTGGAAATTGTAAAGCGTGATAAATATGTTAATGATGTTTATGTTAATAATAGCAATGTGAGGCATTGTACAGATTATTCTAAAACGCCATGCATTATACGATGTTACATCTGATATTATTATTACTACCACTAATAATATTTCCCCAACACTCACAGTCTGACGACATCTTCTGAGTCCCGTCTCCAAATGTTCGGCTGTGCCTGACTCTGCAGCCTCGCTCGCTGTCTGTGATTCATTGCACTAAATACCATTTTCCTGATAATTAAAAACTGCTCACTGGCAAGTGGGAGCAGGAACAGGCGGATGCAGGATTTATGCAGAAACACAAAATGAGCCAAAAGACAAATGACCTGTTCTGCCTGGCTGAAGGCATTTCTTTTCCCCTCCTCGTCTTCTGGGTCTGCAGAAAGGCGAGCTGGGCCATGGGTGAGGGCACTGGGAGCTGTGTCGTTGCGAGGTGAGGTGGATGCAGCGGGAGCCGCTGCCTGTCTGGGCTCCCTCCTGGTTCCGAGCACAGAACCGTCTGCCCTCCACTGGAGGAGCTGTGCCTGGGCCATCTCCTCCATCCACGCTATTGGGCTGTTAGACCTCAGGGAGAGGCAAAGCATTGCATTAGGGCCGTGTCTTAGGCCATCAGTTTCACTCTTTAAGTGTCCCCTCCCCAATGCGACGATGCTTCTGTCAACTTCAGGGAAAATAAATACAATCTGTACAGTTGCATGGATGCAGCAAGTGGGACGTGCTAAATGGATGCTGCAGCATCATGTACCCACTCTGGGGCCCCAGGTGGCCACCTTAGCCTCTGGTGAAAAGGCCTCAGTGAGAGCCGAAGCCCCCGGCCCCAGAAGAGCAGCCATGAGTTTGCGCATACCCTGACACACACACACGTGTGCACACACTGTTTGATTTTCCAGGCCAGTGGGCCAGCAGCCGGCTCTCCTTGCTGTGTGCACTTTCTCCCAGCAGGGCCCACCTCGTTGCACTTTCCTGGCCAAGAGGAAGAACGAGGAAGCCCCTGGAGAGGAACGCGCTCCCTCCGGGGAGTAGCCCCTTCCCCCAGCTGCATGCAGCCAGGCCCTGCAAAGCTCATGAACTCGGAATCCCTTCCCATTTGTCCTCCTGTATGTCTTCCCTTGCAGACCGTTCATTACAGCACATTCTAGATTGTTTAATTAGTTCCCATGGAAGAGTCCTGTAGGACAGCTTAGCATACATGGCTTAAAAGCCCTTGATCTAAATTAGCAACGTAGTTATTTTTAAAGCAACTAATCTAACCCTAAGCGGCTTACATCCCGCACTGCCCACCCCACCTGGCTTCCCCTCCCTACCTCCTCAGACACTTCTAGAATAATTTACTGATAGAGCAGTGCGGCCTCACTGTGCGTCAGGCACCGTGCTAGGAGTGTCACTTGCAAAGGGTGCTTTTATGCCACAGCTGGTGATCTCCTTCTTTGTGGGAGGAAAAACTTTTCTAAGGGGTGATGTGGACTTACCATGTTCTGTAGGGCTGGTAGAAGGTTGCTGGGTTCTGACGTCACCTGTGGGCCCAGGCAGCTGGCCTCTGGCCCTCCTCTCTTTGCTGCACAGAACTGGGGAGAAGTCACGGCTTGTTGGCAGCGACCTGCTGTCCCCTTGCATTCTGAGTGCATCTGTTGCCCGGTCTCTCCCTCCCTCCTTCCACCAGCGCACAGTGGCTGACTTCTGCCTGCTGGCAGCATCTGTTTCTTTGCCTGAATGTTTCCAATGACCTTGGCACCCCCCCTCCCCAGCGCCACCACCCACCCGGACAGCAGGCCAAGCAGTCCATGACCAAAGCCGGTGGGGGATTCAGTATGGAAATACCACAGCTTCCTTGACCCCAGGATGGGCGGACTCTGGAGCTGAGAGCTGCTTCAGGGACCACAGTGGTCGGTGGCTTGAGCACAGGTCTCCCAAACACAGCCTTCCAACGCCCTGTCTTCCTTCCCGCTTCACTCAGGTACATCTTGGGATCGCCTCCCAGATAGGCCACTTGCTTTCAAAACCTGCCCTCTGGGGACACCCTAAGCAGGACCAGGGTGGCCTGGATGTGCGGTCCTGGTTCTTGGCCCATTGTCCACCTGGTTTCACTAGTTCTTGCTCTTTACCTGTTCTCTGTGGCAGCTGAGAAACGGTTGGTAGTCTTCTGTCTCTGTTCCCTCTTCGTCCACTGTTAGTAAACCAGCGCCCCCTCTTAGGCATGCTCATGGGGCACACCGCTCTCAAGTCTCTCAGGGATTAGAACATGCACCATGACGGCAAGGCCCTCTCCACTTGCTCTGTGCAAAGTCTGTGCCATCCCAAAGTTTCCAAGGAGCATTCTACAAAGGTCTAGCCACCCTGAAACCAGCAGGCCAAGATTGGCTTTATTTAGCAGCCAGGAAGAACCCATCGTCAGAAAAAAAAAAAAAATTGTTCCTCTGGGCGGGACCCCCAGGCTCCTTGGTCTTAAAAGGAATCTGGCTCAGTTTTTTGCTGTGTCTTCCTCCTGCTCTGGGATCGTGGCCTAACGCTTCTTATACACACTGGAGTTGGTGACCAGGGTAGTGTTCGCTTAGGAGACCAGCAGACCTGTGAGAAAGTTTGTGGGTGGAAAATGTCAAAACCAGAGCATGCGTGCAGGGCTGGGAGCCTCGGAGAAGAGGCTGCGGTGGCTGGGGCGGGGCTGCAGTGCTGCGGTGGAGACTGAGGCCCGGGCTGAGCCTGAGGTGTCCTTGCTCACGGCCCTGGGTAAGGCAGCGGCTGGAGGGAGGCCCACTGCTCTCCCACGGGTGTGACCCCTGCCTGTCCTGCACTTTGCCTAATGACACATCAAGCATGTTGACAAATCACCTTGCGAGGAATCCATTTGTTTCTTGGGTTCCATTTACTAGCGCGCCCCCTCTCCTCCACTTCTTGAATGTATTTTTCCTGCAATGACAATTCTCTGTGTTGTCCCCATGCACACCTATCTGTCTTAGCACTGGGCACCTCTGTGACAAGCTCTAAATTCCTTTACGTATTCCTCACTCACCATTTTCTTCGTTTTTCATACTTCAGTGTGTCTGAAGGCATGGGAGTTCAATCACCATTTGTCTTTCATTCCATCTCATTTTTTTCCACGTGGACTTCGTGCTTTTCCTAACAGAATTTTGTTAACTTTTCTACTCACATTTTTGTCCTCCAGTATCCTGTCTTGGCACCTCCATTTTGAGGGTTTTTCTAACAGCAATTTCTTTCCTACCTTCTTTCTCTCTCTCTCTTTCTCTCTCTCTTCCTTCCTTCCTTCCCTCCCTCCCCCCTTCCTTCCTTCCTTCCTTCCTCCCCCCTTCCTTCCTTCCTCCCTCTCTCTTTTACTCCCTCCTCATCTCTCTGGCAGCCTCAGATCACAGCCGTCAGTTATAACCTTAACAGCGGCCTCCGCCAGGAAAGTTGTCAAGTTGATAAATATTGATATCTACCCTACCATTTTCCCACCACTTTTCCGCTAATGCATTTGGTTGGCATCAATCAGCTTCTCTGCCTTCTGTGAGTGCCCGGTATGGGAACTGGTCCCGATCTGTCACTTATAAGTAATCTGTTCCACATTTCATCAAGAGCTCACAAAGAGAAGAAATGCTGGAGGAGACGTAGAGGACGGGGAACCTGGCAGGAGTGGCCCCAGAGGGAGGGAGGGAGCAGGGGCGGCTGGGCCAGGTGAGGAGAGCAGGCAGTGCAGGTGCACTCCGCAGTGCTGGGGCCAACAGCAGAACTTGGCGGCCGCTGCATTCTCCTCGGGATGTTAACCCTGCTTGTCTCCTCCAACAAGGCTCCCCAGGGATGAAGATCTACATTGATCCCTTCACTTATGAGGACCCCAATGAAGCCGTCCGGGAGTTTGCCAAGGAGATTGATGTGTCTTTTGTGAAAATCGAAGAGGTCATCGGAGCAGGTATGGCTGTCCCTCCCCCTTCGTTTCTGTCCAGTTGGTGTCCACACGTCTTCGGCCCACCGCTCCCTTTCAGCCTAAAGAGCCGGCCCGTTGGGGAGACAGTGTCTGCTTTCCTGTGCTGCAGAAGACAAGTCTGCACCCCTTCTGTGTGTGTCTAGGTCCGAGAAAGAACGTCACTCGGAATCTTCTGGGGACCTTGATCATGGTGACCAGGCTTTTCTGGTATTGCAGAGAAATCACATGTGGTTGGAGAAGATTAGAAACAGCTCTGCACATGGCCCACGAAACGCAGACAGGAGAGAGACACAGGGCACACACTCAGGAAGAAAACAAAATCTTTAGAAATTGGATCTAGTCTCTCACTCACTGATGGTGACGTCTCAGTGGCTTTCGGCCAAGATTCCTGGCCAAACACAGAGCTCTCCTCTTCTCTGCACCTGCGTCTAGAGACAGAAAAGCCCAGCCAGAGTAGAAGGAATGGCCTGAGATGTGGGAAGTCACAGCTGAGGACTGAACTAGAGTTTTCATCTCTCTTTAATGGGTCAGGAGTTGAGTCAGTTCAGTAACGGACCCAGCCTTACTCTTGGAAGCGAGATCAAACATCCCAAACGTCACTGCTTTATAAGGGATTGTTACCGTCTCTTACGAATCTTCCAAAAAGCTGGGTGCGGCCTGCGTCTCCTTCCTTACTCTGTGTTCTTCCTGCGTGTTCTGTGTCTTGTCTTCTCTAGTCCGTCTTAGCCATGGTTCAGGCTCTCTTCACTGTAGTCATCTCTGCAGCTCCTGGAGCTGAAGCGCTTGCTATGTTCATACCAATATTCGGAGAGCCGCGGAGTTTCCGCTGCCCGTAATGTTTTCACTCAGTACACTACGTGCAGTCAAAGTCTCGCAGACGGCCGCTTCCTAGATTATTTTAGAGGGAGTGTCACCATCCTTCCATTCACTGCCTCCCTTAATGCACGGAGGGGTCGAAAAGCCGTCTGTGAGTCACGTTGGAAAGCCTGCGCCACTCGGCCGCCAGTTCCATGCGCTGGTTTCTCTCTTGAAGAACCCCATCCTCGAGTGCCCTTCAGTGTCCCGATGGTGGGCGCTGGGACCCTCCATGCCCTGTCCAGACGGCTGACCAGAACCCGAGCCCATGAGTCTGCGCCTGTCTCCCATGGCCGTTCGTTAAATGGGCTCCTGAACTGAGGCTTCCACATCTGCGCCCGTCGTGTTCTCTCCCTCTTTAGACACTGGCACGGTTTAGGATTGCGCCGTGGAAGGCTGCCGACCCCATGAATCCTACAACTCCCAGGGGCTCAGATTTCCCCCGTGAACCTGACAGCGCTGGGGAGGCGGGCTTTTAGCCCTGCACTCTGTTTGCCCGCGTTATTAATTGCTGTTATGGCTTGCGGTAATGGCGCTAGTGATTTTAATGTTGTTATTTATGCCATGGTTCAGAGTGATGTGTTCCGGGCTGCATTTCCTGCCAGGGAGCACACATCAGCCTCCATCGCAGGGAGAAGACAGCAGCCGACTTTATGGTCCTGCCGGGGAGTTACGGTTTGGGGTGAGGTCACCAGCTGCTAGATGCCCATAAAGCGACAACTGATGGTCCTTCTCTCTCCTCCACCTTCCATTCATGCACAGTGCTTGCTGCTGTGTGTGTGCCCTCTACATCTACACAGAGAAGGTTTCTCCCTCTCTGTGGCTCCCACATGCTGGCCAGAGATTGATGCATGGAGCAGTTGTGTGATGCTCAGCCCACAGTTAAAGGCGTCTGCCCAGTCATGGTGACCTCTCCCCACCCCCCACCCACCACCTCCACTAGAGACCAATCCCCTTATAGGACTCAGAAGGCCCCAGAGCTAAACCCTGGGGATATTAACTCCCAGCGCACAACCTTACACAACTTCAACCCATCGCCCTCACCTCCCCACACTCTGGTAAGAGCTGATGTGAAGTCAAGTTTACAAACTGGCCTGTTGGGGGTGCGGGAGTGGGGAGGGACTGGTAACTAGAAATGTTTCTCTTAGCCACCTGGGAGACTTGGAGCAGGGAGCAAAAACTCAGGCTTCCATATGGTCCCAAAACACCACAACAAACAAAACACAAGGGGAGCAAAGTCAGTCTTCCTTCCTCCTCCCTTTCTCCTCTTCCTCTGCACTTCCTCCCTCCTGGCCTCCTGCCCTCTGCAAGCTTGTACTGAACACCTCCTGCCTCTGGGTGTGGAGCTCCAGCGAGGAGTAAACAGCTGGCCCCTGCAGAGACCTGGGGGTCTTTGTCTTTGCCGACAGCAGGTGAACCTGTAGCCATCATCTGTTTCACCCTGCCCACAGCACAGGCACAGGTATAAGGTGTGCACCCAACACAGAGGAGTGCTTGGCTCTTTGTGGTGGCTCCTGCTGGGGCCTGGGGTAAGGAAGGCTCCACAGAGGAGATGACCTTGGGCCCTAACCTTCAAGGATGAAAACGAGTAGAAAAATGAAGATTTTAGGAGATGTGGGAGACAGTGACAGGAGAGGAAAATGAGCAGGACCCTCTGGCAGCCGTGTGCCGCCGCCAACTGCAGCCCTAGCTCCCAAAAGCAACTGCGTGCATCTCGCCCCAGCCCCACACACACTGGCAGCATGCTAGTGACTGGACGCCAACCCCATGGGAGGGCTGACACCATGAGAATCAGCAGAAGCTACCCATCCAGGGTGTTTGTTTCTGTGTGTTCTGGAGAGCCAGTAGTTGAACAGCTCCCAGAAGAAGAACTCCCTCCTACTGTGGCAGAGTAACTGGCCTGTGCCTGCTGAGTACAGATCTGGAGGAGAGGCCATGTTGTCACAGGAGGGGTTAAGTCTGGGGTGCATGGAGATCCTCGTTCATTAAACATTGTTTCTGTGCCTGGCGGGAAAGATGCTGGGGAAGCACTGGGTGCCCGGCAGTGGCTGCCCTGAGGGGTCATCGTCTGTACCAGGACACACAATATGGGGGGGGGGGGGCTGGGGGACAGGTAGCCCTAGAGATGGGAGGAGAGGCTTGAGGGCAGGGGGAGACTTAGGAAGAGGGAGCTGAGGATGTGGTGGTTTGGGATGGGTTGGGAACAAGCAGGAAAGAAGGCCTCTGGGAGGGAATTCCTGGGGGTAAGTACTGAGCATCAGGTCTGGAGAATCGGGCTGAGCAGAGCGGTCAGAGGCTACAGGATGGACTGTGTCATTAGAAAACGAGTAGGAAAGCTCTGAGACTGTCTGACTCTATGTGGATGGGGCTGAGAGGAGCAGTGGGGAAGGGAAGGGTGGAGACTCAGCTGGGACGCTTGCAGAGGCTCCGCGAGGGCAGGTGCCGGTATCAGAGTGAGAAGGAGGCTGCCTTAAGTAACCAGACTTCACCCAGCTGGGTGCGTCCCAGCACAGCAAATGGAACAACTAGTGGGCATGGTGGCTGGGATGGACAGGGACAGGTGGGGCAGGTGTGGGGGGTGTGTGGCCAGAAAGCAATACCTTGAAGGGAGAGTAAGGCTGCCTGGCACCAAGGGTGTGATGGTTGAGCCTGTTGAGTGCAGGAAAATGGAATACCATCTAGAAACTGTGAGGTTGAGGGATTGCATCAGCTCCCACGGTTCTCCTGAAGTTGCCCAGGATGCTGGACAAAGAATAAAGAGCGTTCAGTGTAAGTTAGATGTGATGCCACCCAGAAAACAGAAGAATTCACCGCTGATCCTTGTGCAATTGCTGTTTGCTGTCCATGGTTCCTCGGGAGGCTCATGGTGCCTTGGGAGTGAGCAGACCCAGGTGTTTTTATTGGGCTGAGACTGGCCTAGTGCATGGCATTTAGGTGCGCGTGGTGAATGAAAGTGGATGTGGGGGAAAATCATGGTGGGGATGACAATCTGGGGAGCTGCATAGAGTTTGGGAGAATGAGGAGCCCGCTGGAGGGAGGGTTACTTTGTGTTCTGAAAATTGCCAAGTGGGATGCGGGAGAAACGGCCCTTCCTCTCCTCCCTGTAGGTAATGGAGGTGATTGACGTCTCTAGAGAGGGCAACAGGCTATCCTGGCATTTTCAGAGATTTTCAGCTCAGTGTTACCAATGGGAGTTGTCTCATGGGTCAACTCCAATGCATGGGTTAATTCTGATCCGTTGGGTCAGTAGACTTACCCAGTGCGTAAACCAGAGCTGCCAGCTGCGATTGGGCCCTACAGCATGAGTGACGTTCCTGGGTTGTACAGTGCGAAGCTTGTGTGACTGTATGCAGCAGTCTCGAACAGGACTGTCAAGTACAGGAAAATGTAAGTGCAGGTGTCACCAGCAGGTGACAAGCAGAAGGAGACCTGCCAGTTGTGTTTTCGTTAATAGATACATTCTCTTCCTCTGACTCCAGGAGCTACCAACTCAGCATTTTCAAAACTGGCTGATGCTGAGGGAGAGGAGGCTGGGGTAGGACAGTTGGGATGAGGGAATGTAAGACACACACAGGTGGGGCGGAGTCACCCAGCATAGCCTTGGCACAGCTTGGGAGAAGAAGATGGGTTTCCTTGGGGGATGATTTGGCAGGAAGGTCGCTTGCCCAACTGGTTCTCTGGGGTCATTCAGAGCGACAGTACAGGGAGGGTTTCTAGAAGAGAAGACCTAAAACCATCTTCAGAAGTTACAGTTGAAGTAGCTGGCATGTACTAAGCACTCATTGCCTGCCAGACTCTGCCCTGTGTGTTTCACAAGCATGGCCTCACTTAATCCTCCTTGTGAGTTAGAGGTGGAGTTTATATGTGAGTATGTTTTAACTGGAAAGGAGTTGGCCTAAAGAGAATAGGTTGTTGTGGGCTGTGCTGCCAGCCCAATAAATAATGGAGCTAGAATGTATTTTTTAAAAGATTTATTTATTTGAAAGTCAGAGTTACATGAGGAGAGAGAGAGAGAGAGAAAGAGAAAGAAAGAGAGAAAGAGAGACAGAGAAGTCCTCTATCCACTGGTTCACTCTCCAGTTGGCTGCAGCGGCTAGAGCAATGGCCAATCTGAAGCCTGGAGCCATGAG